CGCAGCGTACTATCTGAGTGCAAACTTTGAGGTATACTCGTAATAACCTTATTATTATAAATCTTTTCCTTCCAAGGATACACCATGGGAATCCCGAAATTCAAAAAGTTTAGAACAGAATCAGCTAACTTCTTTGTGGGAAGTCAGTTAAACTCTCGTGGCAGCCATGTTTGTTTTTATTATTAGAGAACGCCGACGAGCGTAATCATTCCATATTTGGAATTCGTATTTCCTTATATGGTAGGTAAAATACCGCAAAATTACGGCAATCTGTAACTTATGGCGTAACGGTGATAGATGTATAATAATATTATATAAACATTGATCTTCTAGGTGTTTTCATATCAGAAACTTATGATGCCAGTATCATGTTCTATTTTCCCACTCTATGCCATGAAACATTAAACATAGAAGTGCACTGACATAATAACTAATAAATGTGTGGATAGTACACTCGTTCTATCATGGGTTAAAACATCCATAACACGAAGATTTATTTCTTCGCCACAACTTACATTCAATGTTAGGGTGTACTATGACTCTATATGAACTATTGTCACAAAGTGAAACATTTGATTTCAGAATAACTACTGTTACTGTAAGACATGTAAATACTGTTATTGTAAAACATGTAACTGCTGTTACTGTAAAACATGTAACTACTGTTACTGTAAAACAATGTAACTACTGTTACTGTAAGACATGTAACTACTGTTACTGTAGGACATGTAACTAATATTACTGTAAAACATGTAACTGATGATACTGAAAAACATGTAACTACTGTTACTGTAAGACATGTAACTACTGTTACTGTAGGACATGTAACTAATATTACTGTAAAACATGTAACTGATGATACTGAAAAACATGTAACTACTGTTACTGTAAAACATGTAACTATTGTTACTGTAAGACATGCAACTACTGTTACTGTAAGACATGTAACTACTGTTACTGTAGGACATGTAACTAATATTACTGTAAAACATGTAACTGATGATACTGAAAAACATGTAACTACTGTTACTGTAAGACATGTAACTACTGTTACTGTAAGACATGCAACTACT